TCTGCGTTTGTTACATGTTAAGAGGGCAGTGGAGAATGAAATGAACAGTCTCCCACAACCGCCTGCTAGCGGCGGCCCCTGGGTCCAGCCTGGAGAGCAGTGAGGCCGTCTGCGAGACGGAGAGAGACTGGACACTAATCCTGCCACTCTTTGTCTTGGGGGGAAGCATGCTTGGTCCTCATGACCACTGACAGAGCACATCTCCTGGGTCCAAACCCCAGCTCTGCTGCTATTAGCAGCGAGATCTGGGGCAAGTGACTCCATGTTCGTGCTTTGGTTTTCTCTACAGATATGTGAGAAAGAGAAATAACATTGTCTACCTAGTTTTGGTGAGCTTTAAATGATTAATGTATAAAAAAATCTTAAAAATCGTGCCTGGCACATGGCTAGCACTATTAGTGTTTACTCTCACTTATTTTTTCGTGAGCTACTGGATGGAAGCTCCCAGCGGGATGTGGGCAGGAAAGGTGGCTGGGAGGAGGGAGAGGGAGGAGCCGCGGGTGTGCGCTCCTGGTCCCACTGTGCCCTGACAGCCGCCGGTGGGAACACTCAAGGAGGTGGAGCTTGGAGCTTCTGGGCTCTGTGAAAGTGGGAAGTGGCACAAAAGCAGGCAGTCCTGGGGCACCATGACCATCACAGACGAGGGGATTGGGCGCCTGCGACTATTATGCCTCAACTGCAAACTGGAACCCGGTTTGAATGTACGATCTGGTGCTTTGTAGGACTGTAAGTGGGAATATATTTCTGCTCATGTGCCATTTCCAAACCTGCTAATCGCGGCTGCTTAGTTCCAGGGAAGATTCTGAGGCCAAGCGTGAGGTCAGTGGGAGAAAGTAGGAAGGTAATATCGATAATTCTCCATTAAAAGAATATACAACTTAAATCTAGTGTCGTATTTCCTGCTGATTAGAGCAACTGAAATAGAATACGAATTTTTATAGTGCCGATGCTGTCATTGGTGGCTAACCTCCACTGAGCGCATTCCGTGCACGCCGTGCCGCGGACCGGGTGGGTGCAGCTCGTCCAGTGTCACACGACGTGGGCCCGGGGAGGGCAGCGGCTCCCCCTGCAGCCTGGGCAGAGCGAGCACGGGAGGCTCCACGGTTTGGCTGATTTCAAAAACAAATCTATCCCGATCTGTTACGGTCAGACTTCGCAGGTGAAGAGTGTGCAGACTCCCAGCTTGCGTCCCACCTGATGAGCTGCAAGAAGGGCAGAGTGGCCATCTCGCCGTTCGTCTGTCTCTCTGGAATCTCTGACGGTGACTTGCTTCAGCCGGAAACTCCAGACCACGTAAGTGAAGACGGGGGTTGCTCATCAGAGGTGTTCGGGGAAGAATGGATTTGTACCGCTAGGCGGCTTGTAAAGGACTTCAGATTTCCCAACATGAAAAGAAAAAAAAATCCAGGTGTATCAATAAGAATAGGACATGGTGGCCTTGAAGCCAGCATGATTTCAGTTTCTCCGAGCTGGCCTGAGAATGTTCCAGAGAATTCTGAGGGACCGCTACTTTCCTTCCATCTTTGAAGTCTCTGAGATTGACACGGCTTTGCTGTGGGAATAGCGCACAAAACTCTGTCTCCGAGCTTTCTCAGAGCTGCTGCGAGTGCTGTAAATATCATTCGTACTTCAGATCCCTGGCGTCTGAAATGAAGGGCAGAGAACTGGACACATTTGGAAGATCCCGGATAATCCCTTGAGTGTCGGAATCAGCTTGTAGAAATGTAATTTATGTTTCAATACAAAATTTGAAAAAGAAAATACATTTTATTACATTTGATATTATGGATCAATGCTGGGGTGTTAAGTCCATTTTATTCCAAAATCAGATAGCCCTCTATCGTGTCAGGCAGTCCTAAGTCACTTAAAATAATTTTGAAAAACTCTATACAGCTTGTGCATTTTAAATAAACACATACATTTTTTATCTTAAACTTAGTTTCTAATGATACAGTTTCCAGTTTCAAATAAATGTCGGTGTGTTAAAATAAAACCATCGCACCATTCTTTTAATTGTATAAAATGGAATATAAACACCAGTGCATTCACAGCTGTGGCCATCAAGCTAAAAACAAATCAGGAATACATTTTTTATAAGGATTTAAAATTTTGTGAAGTTCTTTTTTTCTTGAACTCACATTTTCTTTCCACCTTTCCCCACATAATTTTATTTTAATATATTTTTACCATGCCGTCATTCTATGATACTCTCAGCTAAGGTAATATGTTCCAATTTAATATTTATATCCTGTTGATCAGAGCAACCTAAGTATAATACAAATTTTTATAAGTAATTACTAAAAATAAAACTACTATTATATTGGAAATGCATATCTTACCGTGACGAATGAGGTTATTTCTTTTTTAAATGGACCTTATAACCATGGATGAATGTTACTCATTACTAGAATGAGACAGGGTTGCCGACTCTTGACGCGAGTGCCGGAAACCTTATTCGAATAGATAAGTAGCTGGGCACGGGAGAACAACGCTTGTAACACTTTGTTAGCCTGTACCACTTCAAGCCCCAGGGAAATGTAACATAGCGAGTTGGAGGAGGACTATCTGTTTTACAAAGTGAGAAAAGTCATGCGTGAAAGAGGTGAGGGAGGAGACCCGGGAGACGCCTCAACTCTGGGACCGTCTGAGCAGGCCAGTTTTAGGAAGGTGTGTGCAGAAGTTGAAGATCTGGAGTTACTTCTTACAGTTATCCACGCCTGCGCTCCCTTCGGGAGGTCTCCGCGCACCCTGGGATCCAGGCGCGCTGATACAAGGCCCATGATCACATCGAGGGCGTGGGAGTCTGCACGGTGGAGGTATTGACAGCACAACCTCAGTTGTTTATTTGCTTTCTGTTACTGAGATGTTTTGCAATTTTTGCACGACTACCAAGGGCGTTTACAAATACAGGTTGAGCATCCCTAATTTGAAAATCCAAAATCTGAAATGGTCTGAAATCCACAAATTTTTGAGTGCTGGCATGATGCCACAGGTGGAAAATTCCACACCTGACTCATGTGACGGGTCACAAGTCAAAACGCAGGTCACACAACACACAGTTTATTCGGCGTCCCCAAGGGGAAAAAAGACTTTTACAGCCGCCTTCAGTTGCAATGCATCTTTTCTGCACAAGCCCAGATCCCCCACGCAACCCCCCCATAGGGTAATAAAATGCACACGTGCAGCCCGCACACTCGCGCCAACAGTGCGTTCCTGCCGCGCCCCACACTGGGCCAAACACCTGTGTACCTTACTGACTGTGAGTTGTTTTGTTGCTCATTCTCTTCTCTGTGCTGTAAAGATACTGTTGAAAATGTCGCAAAGTCCTGCAGATAGCCCTGTGGGTACCAGTGATAAGGAAAGAGGAAGCATTTATGTTCGTCTGCAGCACAGAAAGCCAGGCTGTCGGAGAAGCAAGAGATTGTGGAGTGTCTTCCAGAAGGGTGTGGTGCTGGTCGGTTGGATCTGCCATCAGTGAGCCGGGGGGCAGCGGTTCTCATAGGCGGAGCCGAGCCCTTCTCCAGGCTGGCTCAGGATGGCGCCACCGCAATGTGTGTGAGACGCCGTCTTCCTTCGTGGTGAAGGATGGGCTTTAAAAATGGCTACTAAAGGAAGAAACTTCAAAGCACAATATAAGAAATCATAAACTTTATGCTGCCGGCGGGTGATTGCCCTTGGTTCTTGTCTTTGGAGACGAAGAATTGAAACCGAACGCCAAAGCAGCAAAGCAAAAGAAGTTTATTAAGCGAGTACACCTGCAGACAGGAGGGGTGTCAAGAGCGATTCCCGGCGACAGTGCACTCCAGACGGGGCAGGCGCAGGCAGGCGTCCCAGCGGACAGTGGCCCTGGGGTCTGGTCGGGTCTCTCCTTTTCCTTCTGACTTCCTCATTCTCGTGCTGCTGTCCCCACGGCCAAGGAGAATGTTACGTCCTCCCACCCATCGGGAGGGGGGTGCTTACTTTATGTGTTCAGAGCCGGACACAGTGCTCATCTACGGTAATGATGGTTTAAGGAAGTCGGAGTCATTTAAGGACACTCTTGCCCCCATCTACGCAGCCACTGCCCGCGGGACTTTCCCCAAACTGGAGCAAGCAAGGTGCATCTACAGAGGGAACCATGGCAGCTGGACCACAGCTTTTGTTTTCACTGATCTGCAGCCCTGACCTTGTTCCTCCTGCTTCATAGCATCCGAGCTCCCCCTCCTGCGTTCCCTAGCTTAGTCTCCTGCCTCATGTCCACATAAATGACAAACTAAGAAGTACTGTGTTTCTCCAGGTCATTCTGCACACAATTGGTGTTAATGGAATTCAGGCTCCCGTGCTGTGTGCAGAGAGGTTTGACGGCCGAGGAAGAAGAATGCCACTGAACGCTTATGCCCTGGATTTCTACAAGCACGGCTCCTTGGTGGGGCTAGTCCAGGACAACAGGTATGTCCCCCACCCGTGTGTGCGTGTCTGCATCTGTCTGTCTCGGTCTCCTCTGTTCCCCTTCCCTTTCTCTCCATCTCCATCTCTAATGAATGAATTTAATCCATTTTAAGGAAAAAGTCTCTTTACGGTTTCAAGTATGGGTTGATTGTGACAAACAGACTGGATTTTTTCTTAGAGGCTAATGGCGAGAGAGAATAACCAATTCAGTATGATTTTTGTTTGTGTTTTACCAGCAAAATCTTGGCGCTTAGGCAAGCTCACTCGACACAAAGCTGTATTCAAAAGGCATAAATATTTGCATATGTTCACAGTTATTTTTCCATCCTATTTATTCATTATTAGATATTTTAAAACTAAATAACAAATAATGCCATGCTCTCCAGTATCTGAGAAGAGTATATATAAAGTATATAATTCCCACATCTGAGGATTGAGTACATGCCTGAGGACTGAACTCTGATCTTTTTCTTTGTCCAAAAAATTCCTTTCTATGGGGGCCTGCTAAGTCATGCCTGCAAATGATAAAATCTCACGAAACAGGTTTTCTGACGGGGCTTACTTCCCAAACTGATTCCGATAGAGCATCACATAAAAGACTGAAGACCCTTATCTTAACTCAAGCGTTCCTTTCCACTGATTCCTAGTCTTTTGGACAAAGCCTAACTCTTTCTGCCAATTGTCAGCTAAAGAATCCCTAAATCCACCTGTGACTTGTGAGCTCCTTCTTCGAGATGGCCCACCTTTTCAGGCCAAACCGATGTAAGCCTTCCATGTATTGCTTTATCACTTTACCTGTAACCCGTCTCCCCGAAATGTATAAAACCAAACTGTAACCCAGCCACAGCGAGTCCACTTGCTCAAGGCTTCTTCGGCATGGCTCTGAGCCATGGTCCTCAAATTTGGCTCAGAATAAACCTCCTTAAATTATTTTACGGAGTTTGTCTTCTTTTCCGTTGACATGACAATTGCTTTAGCTCTTTGGCAGGGAAACCATCTTCAGAAACAGTTAGCAGGGTCAACACTCCTGGATTACCTGGGGATGAAAAGTTGACCCAGGCACTGAGCGCCTGGATGTGGGGAGGGACACCCTGTCATAGCAAGGCAGGAATTCAATCTACTTTCACATAAAAATCTGAGCAATCCTTACTGAATTAAGGTATTTAAAAAGTCTGATACTCTTCAGAAACGTTGACCATTTTTTTAAAAATGGGGCTTGTTGTGAATGAAGTTGCTGTGACATCAGTGAATGACACGTCTGGTTCTTCCTGTTTGGTCCTCTAGTTCCCATCGCCCAGAGCGTCAGCCCCCTGTGTTTGCGGATCACCTGTGGTCGCCAGCCTCCCCTCTTGAATCCATAATCATTACCACTGATTACACCAATATCTGGGAGTCTGGGGCAGAAATGATTTCAGGAACTAAGTCTTAACAGACAAAAGTAACCTATGATTGACAAATCCAACACTTAAATACAAAATAAGAAATTCTTTGTTTGATATCTAATTTTCAAAATGTTGTTTTATTTAGGATGAATGAGGGAGACGCTTACAATTTGCTGAAAGATTTTGGACTCACCGTTAAAGCTATCAGGTGTGTTATATATTTAAATGTTGATTTCATATTTTTTAATAATTGTAATTTGAAGCCTGTCGAGCTGTCGCTGTGAGCCAGCACTCGAAGGTGCACCGAGCCTCTCGCCTGCTGTGATCTCAAGTCCCCAAAGGTTCTGCAGAACTCACCAGCACCGCGTTGCACTGTTTCTATAGCAGAATTAATTCCAAAGTCCATTTCGAGGCGAAGTTCCATTCAGACTAGACTCTCAGCCCCAGGCACCACGCACCAACAGGCTGACATATTCCAAAACTCAGCGACCCCAAGACCCTCGCGTCCTAAACTGCCGCGCGCAGTGTGTCTCGTGTCCTCGGTGCTTCAGAGGGGTCCTGTGGCTCCACCAGGTCTCTGGCTTGTAGACACGTGCATGCTCCCGAGTCCCTGGCTTTGTCCAGGTTTTCTCCAGGCGTCATCTGACTCTCATCTGTCACGTGGCGTCCTGTTTTCATCCTCGACAGAGCCCCCAGGACCCTCCGACAGCGAACTGTACGCGGGTCCTCCCGTCCCGAGGCTCAGCTGGCCAGTTAATGTTGCTGCGTGACACGTCCGTCCTCCCAAAGCCTCCAGCCTGCATGCGCCTCAGTACCTTATAGGCGCTCCGTCGTTCTGTCACTTACGCACATTTCATTTGCCACCAGTCCGTGCAGCGTCAGGGTCTTGCTAATCTGGTCATTGTGTTTTATTTCTTTGATCTGAGCGGAATCAGGCCTGTTTGGACTTTTTATCCAGAAAGTGAAATTTTTGGGGTGCTAGAGCAGAAGGGACCGCTTTGTCCACCTGGAGCGCCCTAGACAGGGTCATCCTCGAGCGGCTCGTGGTCACCCGAGCTGTGATCTCTGAGAAATGCCGGAGGCTTGCGTGGCATCTCAAAGACTGGGCTGAGGAAGATGGTTCACTCATGTGTTCATCTAACAAGTATCTAAGTAACATCAATTTGAGACATGCCTCTAAGCAAATTGAGGCAAAAAGAATCCTTAAATCTCTCAGTGCTTTGAAAAATCACGGTGCGGTGCGAGGAGCTGACCGGTAGACGTCCCGAACGCAGGACGCGCCGTGGTGCAGATCAAGGGGGACGAACTCCACTTGGACTCAGAGAAGCCTCCCAGGAAGTAATTTTTTGGCTGCGTCGTAAATGAGGAGGCCGAGGGAATAGTGTTTTCAAAGTGCACAGGTGAGAAAGGCCCAGATGTGTCAGGGAAAGGCTTTGAGCTCACTAAGCGACATGTAGGATTTGGGTGTTGGGAAGAGCTCCTGAGTTCCCATAACCGACTTTAACTGGAGCTTGGATCTGTTTATACTTTAGGAAGGGTCTTCACTGCCACATCATGCCAAGGAGTTGAGTTTCGTATTTTGAGCAATTATGGACGGTGCGCAGGCCCGCGTGTGGCAGGGGTCTGTGGTTTCTGCATGTGGCAGACGTGTGCAGGCTCAAGGGCTGTCAGGGCGGTGCAGGTGCCAATGCGCGAAGGCCTGAATGAAGGACAGAGAAATGATGGTGCAGAAGGGTGGTTAGATTTATGGGGTAGACTTCAATAAATTGGTAATAAATTCCATGCAGTTCGTGAAGGCGGCCAAGGTTCCTATTTTAGTTAAGGATACACAGCGAACATGGCGGGGGGATGACGTTTGGAGACGAGAACCCAAAATAGCGAGAATTTACACACATCACAGGACCGCGGGGGACATGATTCTGGAGGAAATGCGCAGTAGTCACAGCAGGCCTGTGAGTCTGCAGGAAATTCGGGGTTGGAGAGACACATCCGATCGGTCTGTGGGGTGGGTCAGTGAAGACCCGGGGGAAAGTGGGAGCTCTGGCGGAAACAGGCAGGTGCCAATAATAAAAGGCTGGAGAAGTGTCAGGTCCGGACGGTTTTCAGTCGTTGGTCAGCCCAGCCACACTGTCCTTGGATTTCTTCTCTCCTGCCCTGTGACCTGGACATGAGCTTCTCGTGACCACACTCGGTGCCCTAGACCAGCACAAACTGCCATCTCACAGTTCTGGAGGTCAGACGTCCACAGTGTGTCTCGGGGGCTCAGTCGAGCTGTCAGCAGGGCGCATTCCTGTCCGGGGCCCTCAGGGGTGACCCGTCTCATTGCCTTTTCCCGCTTTTAGAGGCCTCCGCAGTCCTTGGCGCAGGGCTGCCTTCCGTCTCCAAAGCCGGCAGTGGTGGCAGAGCCCCACATGGCGTCACTGTGACACTCCTGCCTCCCTCTTCCACCTGTAAGGACCTTTGAGATCACGCTGAGCCTACCCAATAATCCAGGATTGTTTCCCCATCGCAAGGTCAGCCGATCAGTGACCTTATCTCCATCTGCAACCCTTTGCCATGATCCCAACGTATCCATGCGTTTCTGGGATTAAGACACGGGCATCTCTGGCGGGCCATTATTCTCCTTCCACATCCTGTTGTCCTCATTTTCTTACACATCTACATAACGAAAGGAATGTTTTCCTCTTCATGGAGGTAGCTGCCTGTGGGTTTCAGTGTACGCTGGACGCAGTAGCAGAAAAAACCCAAAATGACTCCATAAAAGATGTATGGAGAAGAGAAAAGGAATTTGCGTCAGCTCTTGAAGGGCAGAGGGATCAAGTGACATGGTATTTGGTGGCCTTTCAAACCCTCTTGGTGATAGACATGGAGAAGAACTGCCCGGGAGTCGTCTTGATATCTTTTCTGAATGTTTTTTGTACAAGATTTTTTAGAATAAATTGTTTCTCACCATCATTCCTCATATTTCACTACCATTATTCCACCATCTGATTGGATTTACTTCTGCCTACCCTGGGAAAGCCCTTCCTACAACATTCAATCTCACTAACATGGTTATTCTGTCTGTTTTCTCCCCACTCGCAGTGTTTCCTTGCGTGAACTATGTGAAAACGAAGATGACAACGTTGTCTTAGCCTTTGAACAACTGAGTGAAACCTTCTTTGAAAAATTTAGGAAAATATAAAAATGAAGTCTATGCAAACCACTGAAAATACTGCCACTGGAGTTTTATAAGTCATATTTTTGATTCTCATGCTTTTTGCCAGAAATATAAATGATGATGTGGAAAGAGCATGTCTAACCGATTTGCAGGTGAGCGTGCCCTGTTCTATCATGGGTACCACAAAGTACCCATGTAGTACCCATATCTAGTGTATCTGAATGCCAGTTTCTTTCTGTAATCGAGTAATAGCAATGCTTACTTCTCGGGTGTTTGCGGACTGACGGAGAAAATGCAGGGATTTTGCATATGACTGAAGAAGAACTTTTACTCTGTGAGGTCAAAACAAATATTATATTCTCAATATTTTTCTCCTGAGTGTCAAGATTTGTAAAAAGTTTATAAGGCTAGAAGAAATGATTACAGTATCCTAAAGGTGAAATGTATTCTCTCCAATGAACATAAAAGTGATTGCATGGCTTAGATCAATGGCTATTGAAATAGTACCTGTTAGTAAACTTAAATTGCTTTTTAAAAATATAAATGAGAGTTTTGGTTTAAACTTTGTGATGCTTAAAAGAGAACATATAGCTGACAATTTGCTTTATTTTAATTGTATATAAGTGCCTGGAAAAACACAAAGAAATAAAATAGGCTTAATTTATTCACCGTTGGTCTCATGGTGTTAAATCCATGCACCTGTCAGTCCACGTGCTCACATCAACGCATTCCATACACAACGGTTTATATATAATCATCTTCCCTTCCCAGCCTCAGACAGGTTGCAGTTCTAGAATCTACTTTAGACCCTAAACTTGAACATACAGCCTTTCGTCCTCAGAGCAAAATGTCTGCTCTCTTCTACCACCCAGATGACTTACAGAAAGATGATCTTTTATATGACATTATTTATAAATAGATGACATTGGCTCAGAAAACCACCTGTGGTTCCATTTGTCTGGATGGGGCTGACCCATCCTCTGATGCACCGGGTTAGACGTCTCCACTTTCTTTGAGCCAAACTCAGTTATTTACAATAAGCGCTACAAGAATGTATGAGCCCCAGGACCCTTAGGAACTGAGGGTTTCTACTGCCCCGTGGTCTCCACTCAAAGCAGCGATACCCAGTATCAGTATATTGTCACGGGGCCTCCACCCCTGCTTGTAGTTTCGTGAGTCTGATTGAGACATGAAGATTTTTTTTTCCATATGAATAAACCAATCTGGCTTTCTAATTTTTAAGAAGAAAATAAGATTATTTTTTGCAATTTGGAATCTTCTTAAAAGAGGCAAGTTATACCTAACCACCTTGAGGTGGGTCCGACGGGCAGCTTCCTTTTCGGTTTTTAGCAATGATTTCAAAGGGTGACCTGGAATAATTTATGCAGAGTGAGTTTACACAGGAGCTCTGAATGCGTTTTATGTTCCATTTGTGGTGATAAAGTGGAATATTTCTTTTTTTTTCTCATCCATGTTGAGAAAATAAAGTGGAATGTTTCTCTCTGAGGAACCTGTGCAGAGACCCTCGTGAGATTCACTGGAGAATGATTATTGTGGCCACGATTTATTCCCATCCTTTTCCCAATAGAAGGCAATAATAATTACATAGTAATTAAACTTCTGAAACCTACAGACAGGAAAAATCTTGAATGCAGACAGAGAAAGAGACACGTGACTAACAGAGGCAGACCCGTGCGAGCGACAGTGGGTTTCTCATCTGAAGCCTCACAGGCCAGAGGAAGTGGAATATTTTTTAAGAACTGACATATTAAAAAAAAACAGTCAATCTTAAGTTCTACATTGGGTGAAAACATTCTTTAGTAATGAAGAGGAAACAAAAACATTGTCCAGTGAAGAAAAAAATCAAGACAATTTGTCAGAAGCAAACCTATTCTTCAGGAAAGCGTAAAGGTTCCCTCAACAGAAAGGAAGTGATTAGAAAAGAAGGCTTGGGGCTTCAGAAAGGAAAGAGGAAAATCAGAGTGGGTAAAAAAACAGGGCTAACTATAATAGAATATTCTTCTCATGAGCATATTTTATAGTGGAAGCAGAATTTTTAACATCATCTGATGTGGTTCTCAGTGGACATGGAGGAAATCTTGAAGACAATTATATGTAAAATAGGCAGAGGCGAAAGAAACCTGAGTGAAAATACGGTGATAGAAACCTTGCTAGCAGAATACGGCAATAAGTAACATGCGTATTTCTATGATTTGAACGTGTCTCCAAAATTTCATGTTTTGGAAACTTAATCCCCAAATTCATACATTGACAGTATTTGGAGGTGGGGCCTTTGGGAGGTAATTAGGATCAGATAAGGTCATCAGAGTAGGACCCCCATATAGCCCTGGTGGCTTTATAGGAAGAAGAAGAGAAACCTGAGCAGACAGACTCTTGCCTTCTCACTGTGTGACGCCCTCCGCCCTGTAATAACGCCCATGCCACATGCTGGCACCATGCCCTTAGACTTCTCAGCCTCCAAAACCATGAGCCAAATAAGTTCTGTTCTTTATAAAATTGCCCAGTCTGTGGCATTCTGTTGTAGCAGCAGAAAACAGATGAAGACTAGGATGTGGCAACACCTGGAGCAACCACTAAGGAAATTACACATGGTGGGATACTCAAAATCACAATAAATAATCAGGATGGAACCTTACGAATGTTTAGGTAATTCACAGGAAGATAAGAAGAGAGAAACAGGAGAGTGACAAACAGAAGAAACATAAATACTTATGGCACAAGCAGACACTGGAAACAACCCAGACGTCCTTCTGCGGGCTGAACAGTCCAGCATGCTATGGCATAGCATCCATACCATGGAATGCTGTTCACTAACAAAAAGGGAAAACTACTATTATATGCAATAACTTGGATAGTCTCAAGGGGATTATGCTGAGTGGAAAAACGACGATCTCAGAAGGTGACCCAGAACGGAATACTCACAGACAAATGAGTGCATGAAAACTGAAATCTGAATAATAGCTTATTTAATGTCAATTTCCTGCTCTGACATCACACTGCACTATAATTATGCAGGATGTCACCATTTGGGAAACTGGGCAAAGACGATACAGGATCTCTTTACTATTTGTCATAACTGCATATGCATCTGGAATTTTCTCAAAATAAATAATTTTGATAACTGGCTATTGCAGGAGCCCCACTACAGGCCCGATGCCAGTATGATTTTTCCTTAGGAAAAGGATGGGGCTAACTTGCGGCCACACTGATCATTCTCAGCGAATGAAGGGAGAGTCCGCGCTCTGGCTGCCCCGGCAGAGTGTTCAAGGCCTGTTTGTCGGGAGGTTGCGTCACCGGGAAATACGGCGTTTTAAAAATGTGCAGGACAGACAGTAACTCAGCAGGCACCCACCAGCACACAGCCAGGCTCTTTTCTGGCATGTGTGGCTCCTACACTCCCGTTATTTCCCACCCACCTGCGTGGGCTGTGCGCATGCGTGGGCTGTGCGCATGCGTGTGCGTGCGTGCGTGCGTGCGCGTGCGCATGCGTGCTAGACTCCTGGCTCTGCCCCGTGTCACGCTCCCGCTTGGCGGGGAGACTCGGTTTGGAGGACGAGCCGCTCTGTCGCCGAGCACGGCACGAAAGGCCCGCGCCGTTTTCTCGAGACGGCGAGCGTGCGCCTCCACGCAGGAAGGAACCGGAAACCGGCGATCGCCTGCGGGACTTCACACCCTTCTCGTTGCCGCTCCGCGAGCGAACTTCCGCCTCCTGACACGGTCGGTGCCAAAGTCCCGCGGCGCGGCCCTCGCGGCGTCCCTCAGACTCACTTCCTCTTCCGTTTCTGCCACGCGCGTGCCCTGGCGCACGCTGCTGGATTATCGCTGTTTCCGGACGTGATCGTGACCGCGTGCTGACGTTCCCGCCGCGAACGCGCCGACACACGGCGGCGGCCCTAGAATCACGATGGGCTGAACGGTCTCCAGGGCCCGGTGCTCACGTGCTGTGCGTTTGTGTCCTTGCAAAGTGCGCGCCTTTTACGTAATGGGGAAAAAACGCGAAGCGTGAAACTGCCGCAGGCAGGCCCTTCCGGAGGTGTCCAGAAGAGGGCGTCGCTGGGAGTGTCCCGGGAGGTGACAGCTCCTGCGTTGCTCTCTGAGGACCTTGCCGGGGGACAGGACGTGGAGGGACACAGTGGCGCCGACGGGCCTGACCCGCGCAGTCCTACGCTGGTGTGTCTGCGTCTTAGTTTTTAATGAAAAGTCTAAAAAGTTTTAAAAAATTTTAAACAGAAAAATGCGAACAGAATAAGGATATAAAGAAAGAAAGCCGTGTAATGCACGTGTTTTAAGCTGTTATCACAAAAGAGTCAAAAAGTTAACAA